CCCCCCTCCCCGCTTTGCTTTCGTGCTTTGTTAACGGGGGCGATAGGCGAGGTCGGGGGTGCCGGCCGGGGAGCCCCCGCTGCGGCGGCGGCGTCCTTGGCGCCGGCTGAAACTATTCGTACCGTATCCAGTTCGCCTCCTCCTTGGCGCCTCCGCGCCGTTACAACTTCCTAAACCTCTGTGGAAATCAAGTACGTGCACGTTACGGGGCTCCCCCCCGCCTTAAGTAAACCCGCGCCAGGTAGGACCCGAAGGCCCGGGGGTCCTCGCGACTCCGCCCAGCGGGGCCCCGCCGCGGCGCCGTGGCCGAGAGGCCTTGCTTCGGCACCCTCCGCCCCGTTCCCGGCGCAAAGCCCCATCGGTTTACGGACCCGGGGCCGCCTTCTCCACCGAGCCTGGGGGTCCCTTCCTGCGGGGTACCGGCGTGGGTGGGTGCGCGGAGATCGCCGTTGCCCGGGCTCTTTGTTCGGAGCTGTCGCCCCGTGCTGTGTGTGAGATTCAGCTTTTAACCGCGGGTCAAACAAAAACGGGGCCCGTAGCGAGACGTAACTTGTAAAATAGCGAAAGTATCGGGAATCTTGACTGTGACGCGGGCAAGACTGCCAGGCTCTCTAGGGTGCGGGAGCAGCCCAGCCATCTGGGGCTCCCCGGGCTTTCAGGAGACAAGGGGCGCGCACCCCCACAGGCGTACCCTTGCCGTGCTCCCCTCGGACACTGGTGTGTTGCCCTTGAGGGAAAAGAGCCTCCCTTTTTATGAGGCAGGGTTTAAAGGCGGCGGGGCCAGGCGGCAGCTCGCCGCAGGAGCCGTGTTCGCGTGCCCTGCTCTGCCCCTTGCAGATAAGGATGGCGCCTGCTGAGGCGCCGGGTGCCTCCCTTGGAGCAGGCGGACTGTGAGCTTCGAGCCGGCACCGGGCAGAGGCGCGTATGGCGCCGGGGGACGGCAGGACCCCGTCAAACAGGCGGTGGTGTCTTACACGAGCGCGGGCATTTGACGCCGTCTTTTTCTCATGCTGTTGCGGGACCTGCGTGTCCATTGCAACCCTCCTTTCTCCAGAAAAATGATCCCGAACGCGTGCTACGCTGCGTGGAGGATTTTTTTTTTTAAAAATCCGTCCAGGAATGACCGCTCTGGTGGGGTGTAGGGTCGCCTGTGTCCAGGAACGTGAGGAGCAGTCTGCGTGTAGCGCACGTGTCGCACAACCACTTGGTCTGACTTCTGCTCTGCGGCGACTCTGCCGGGGGCTTCTCGGCTGCACGCTCTTCAGGGTGTTGGCGGCGGTTTCCTTGGTAGAAAAAATTAAATGCTAAAGAGGAAATGAGCCAGTAAAGCCGCCGCAGAAATGCTAAGAGGACCGTTACAGCTGATCAAAGTAATGAAAACTTGTAAGTCAGAATTTCTGCCTGCGAGCAGTGATATTTCCAGGGTTGTATAACACTGCTGCCTAATAGGTGTAACAGCCTTTATCTGTGAGGAGGTGATGTCTGATGTAAGGGGCTACAGCCCCGACCTGCCATGCCAACTCAGTTGATCAAGGACTCAACTGACACCAATGCTTTTTTTCCTCCAGAAGAAGCCAATGCATGGCTGTTCTAAAGTTTTTTTAATTCTTACTGGTGTGTGGAGTTCCTTGCTGCAATCTCCTGAGCCATCTGTGAAGAGACTTTACAGAGCAATACAGGCATAAAGCAGGGAAGATGCTAAGTGGAGTTTATTTAAACGGTTGCGTGGCTTTCGTTGTTGAAATTTTTGTGTGAAATATCAAATGTTTTTATATTGACTTTTGAAATGCCGACTCTTGGAGACAAACTCAAATGAAGTGAAAACAATTTTTCTTGCTTAAGAGCAAGAAAAAGGAGCCTGTGAAAAGCCAGAACTGCTCCCAGGTCTGCCTGAGGACAAAAAGCTGTTTCATCTGAGGGATTCTCAAGTGTGTCAGATTGCAGGACAGAGACTGTTTGCAAATAGCAGCCTGGCAGTCGGAGTTTAGCTGCTACTAGAAACGCTACAAAGGCTTGCAGTCAGACAAATGGCGTTCAGTAGGCTAACCAGGCTGCAGCGCTATTTCTTTCCCTTGCCCCCTTCCCTTCTGCATCGTGAGCACCTCCCAGCCTTTCCTTTCTGTGCCTCTGGCGCGTAGCCTGCATGAAGTCTTTCTCTCTGCCCTATTTCTGTCCCTAACCTAGCTTGTTTGCATTCTGGCTCCACAGTGCTGTAAGATCCTGTCTTTGCTGTGGCTCCAGATGAGCTCTGCTCGGAGGGTGACCAGAGAAACCCTCCCTGGGCCGCCTTGTGCCTTCTCCCCGCTGCCCTGTCCTGCCAGCCACCATGGCTTGTTGCTCCATCTTTTGCTTTTGCTGTTTCATCTCGACTTGGATCGGAGGAATTCTGATAAATCAGGAGAAGGGGATGGGGCAGATTGAGAGGTCAGCCGCTGAAAACAAATGGAGAGAAGCAAGCTGGAGGGAGCGAGGGAAAGGAGGGCGTCCAGGAACACGTGATGGCTGGGTCTGGTGGTGCTGGGTCATGGCGTGGCTCACATGGCAGCGGTGCATGTCTGCTTGTTATGTCACTACGTGCCGCCTTTTTTTTCTTGCCTTAGGGGGTGTGATAGCTTACATCAGCTCTTCAAGCTCGGCATCTAGCCCAGCCTCATGTCACAGCGAGAGCTCAGACAGTGGTTTCCAGTCGTCCTCTTCGCCTGTACCATCTTCTCCGAACAGCTCCTCCTCGGAAGGCGGCTGCAACAGTCGGAGCAGTGAGGGCTCTGACGGGGCACCGAAGAGCGATCGGCTGGAGGAGACTATTAAAACAAACCAGTCGAGTGTTGCTGGTTTGACAAAAGGCCATAATGGAGTCACAAGTATGTTTGGTGCTGGTTCCTGAAACCACCATCTTCCCCTTATATATTACAACCCCATATATTACAAGCAGGTCCTCTGCGTAGCTTGCTGTGAAGGCACATAGCAAAGCCTCCATTTTTATCTTTTTTTGCATTATATGTATAGTAGTATGTATAGTATTGCCATACAAATGCTAATAGATAGAGGTCCCATTGCTGCTAACTTCAAACAGTCCATAAATACAGTCCAGCTTTACTTCAGATTTTCACTAGTGAAAACTGATCTTAATAAAAATCAAACACTTGGTTAAAAAGATGCAATGAAATAAAGGTAATAGTAATCAGAAATTGCCTTCAGGAGTATTTATGGAGCTGTCTTGCAAATCTAGTTTCTCTGTTTTTCATACTCCCTACCCTTCCCCTCCACCTTTCCTCCCCCCAGATTTCTTTGAGGAACAAAATAAATAGATTACCAAAACATTGTATTATATTTACATAGCTGTAGCTGGGACCTTTATCTTTTTGATTCCAAGTTTTAATTTGTAGATGTAGCAAACAAAAGTACTCGTAAGCTGGAACTAACAGCCTTTTAAAATGCATTTAACAATCTAGCTCCAGCTATTTGCTTCACACTTTTTTTTGGTGATCAGAAAAGATTGACAGTAAAGAACTATATTTGAACAGTTTTGGAAGGGTAGGAATCAAACTAAGTGCTGGAATGAGTGTTTCAGTAAACACTTAGCTGGAATTTACACTAGTCTTTTGAAGGCTGAATTCTTTTATTGGCAGAATTGTTTTATTGTTTTGAATTGTTACGAAGCTAGAATAAGTATCTAACAGTTCTACCTTAAAAAGTTGGGTTTTTGTTTGTGTTTTTTTTTTTTTTTAAATGTGTTCCTACCCTAAGTTCTTAGTAAGAACCTTTACTTCCTCTTAAAAATTTGCTAGCAACTAGGTTTTTGATATCAGGGCAGAGGTTCCTGAAGATGAAAACTGTTCAGATGTATAGATAGATAACATTTTTAGCTCAGTACTAGGTCTGTTTAAAAAAAAAAAAAAAAGGAAATTTTGTGGTTTGGTTTTTTTCAAAACTTTAAAAAAAAAGTTTTAGTTCCTCTTTACAAATGAAACCCAAATGTCAAATAAATTGCTCTTCTGGTAGAATATGGTTCTGTGGGAGTATTTCCAGCTGTCTCTGTTGCTCACTGTTAAGGTAACTTTGTGGTTACTGAAGTCACTAGTAAAATTCCCATTGGCTTCAGTGAAACCAATGTTAGACCAGCACTTAAGACTTCCAAAAAAAATCTTTTTTTGCAAGCTGAAATAAAATAGGTGGGGAAAAATTTAAAAAACCCAAACCATGAGTATCTTTAGACGGCTGAGAAGGTATTTTCAAGGTCAAGGGTGTAAGCATGCCATTGTGGATATGCACTCAAATGAGTAGTCTTTACATATGTAGATGTGGCTGAGTTACCAGTCCTAAATTGTTATCAAATAGGTAGAGTGTATGGCTTGTTTACAATATATAATAAAAGAAAGTGTCCTTTAATATTTCTGTTTTTAAGAAAAGATGCTTATTCTCTGTTGGGGAAACAGTAGCCTTTATATGGCCTTACTTGTCCTGATGGAAAAACAGATTGAACCCGAACTTTGGTGGCCTAGTTAACTAAATGGGCCTTTTAAAAGTGCATAAATGTAAGCAGACTTTCTTTTTCTACAGTTGAGTACAATGCTACCATGATTGAGAGTCCAGTGAATACGTGCTTTCTCCCTATTCTGTTGAGTGCTTCATGTTTGTCTTTTTTCCCCTCTCCCTTGTACTGGTACCTTCTGAACTGTTCAGGGGTTTTGTACATTCTTGTTGTCTGTTCCTCTGCTGTATTTTTTGTATGTTGAGCTGACCTGACGTAATTTGCTTTTAGTCCAGGTTTTAAAAGCTGGAAACATGTTCCTGCAGTTGTCATTGGTTTTCTATATCCTTGACTTTTCTGTTCTGATTCTAGAATTTAATGGCATGGTTCTTCTTTGCAAAGTCTGTGGAGATGTCGCTTCAGGATTTCATTATGGTGTTCATGCCTGTGAGGGCTGCAAGGTGAGCTATATTTCTGCTCACCTTTCTGTTGGTGAAATGCTCAAGTTCCCCACATAGGGGAAGAGGGGCGATACTTCCGAAAAAACCCCAGGATGCTTCTCTGTTAAACCTGAGAAATTTCAGACAGTGTGTAAGTTGTAGGAAAAGGCAAACCACTTAGCAATACACAGCGTTTTTCAAACTCTGAATGCTTTTTGTTCTTGCCCCTTGTCTGATCCTCCCTGACCTGGAGTGCACAGCAGAGAACCAGAACTGGAGACAGAGGTGGTAAGGACCATGTCACGCAAGACATGTGAATGTTAATTGCATTAAGAGATAGTGGGTGTGAGTTGTCACCTGGGCTGGGACGCAGAACAAAACAGCTTTGGAAAAAGCAATTCTTTACTATGGGGAAAGCCAGAACTGGGTGCTTGCATGTTCGCGTATCAGTAGAGCTGTATTTTCTGATACTGTAACACTGCAGACTTTATGTTCTGTGAAGGAGTTTATCAACTTGAGGGTTATGTGAAAGAACTGCCTTTGAAGATCATATGGTGCAACAGGATGGTTTTGTTGCCAAACAGTGGAGATTGAAGTAAAAAGACCTGATTTTGACTTTCACCTTTGCACTTAGGAGATTGAGGGCATATCTTATAAACTGTCAGTACAGTGATAGAGGTAATTCTGGAGATACTTTGCTCTTAGGTGCTGACTATGCAGGGAACAACTTAGCATCTTCTATAGTTATAAATCATAACTAGTTTGTGTTATACACAGATCACACATGAAGGGGAAGTAAGTCATGAGGAGTAGCAAGTTCTTTAAAATCACTTGGGGCTGATGGCTCTGAAGCAGCTGATGAGATGCAGTGAGGTTTTCTGTGCTTGCTGAGAGGTGAATCTTGGCAGGAGGATTTGACATGTGCTGTAATAATAGTTGTGGGGTTTTTTTGTTTGCTTGTTTGTTTACAGGGTTTTTTCAGAAGAAGCATTCAGCAAAACATCCAGTATAAGAAGTGCTTGAAGAATAATAACTGCTCTATAATGAGAATGAATAGGAACAGATGCCAGCAGTGTCGTTTCAAAAAATGCCTGTCTGTTGGGATGTCAAGAGATGGTACGTTCCTCTACTAAGCAGTGATCCTCTGAGAGGGAATCTGCTGCCCACCTCAAAACTGATTGCTAAGGGTCTTAACGGCAGAAAACACAGCCAGCCCTATTGTCAGGGACAGGTTCCCTGTCCAAGAGCATTTAGATCAGCTTGCCTTCTTGCTCCGTGGCTGTCCTGAACTGGTAACGTAATACTGGCCGCAGAGGTGTCCTCCCATCTCTGGAGGCTAGTGCAGTGGGATGTGCTGCAGTGGTCTGTTAGGGAGACGGTTGTAAGAAGAGTCTCAGTTTTGTTTTAATGAGTTAATATTTATAGCTGTATCCTGCCTGAATCTGAACAAGACTCTATTCTTTTTTGTTTTGTTTTGTTTTGTTAATGTTGCTTTTTCAATGAAAGGGAATTCTGCCCAAGCTGATAGCCTTAGAGTAATCATTATAGAGCCTAAAGAGTTAGGTTTGGGTACATGGGGAGAACATATATCTGCTCTTCTTTTTTCTTTTTTTTCTTTCTTTTTTTTTTTTTTCTTGGAGGGAGGGGGGAGGCAAGGAGGAAAGGGTAATATTGAGCTGTGTCTCTGACCACCTTGCTGGCTATCCACTCCTTGTGACTTTTTTTAAAACATGATGCTGAAAGTGTAGTTCATTAGTCTGCTACAACTTACTGTCATGAACCAGAACTCTTCCTTCTGTTTCACTTTTTAATTTTCTCTGGGTGTTTATTTCACAAGAACTAGGAATCTTGGGCTGTTAATAATTTAGTGGGTGGAGTGTTAAAACTTATTTTAAATAATTGTTCCGAGTTCTTGTCGTGCATAGGAGTTATTTCATCCCCTAGGCGCTTGTTTGCGCATAAGGTTGCACCTGCTTTAATGAAAGAGATTTAGTTACATTAATGATGGACTACTGCATGAACATAATTACATCAGTCGAAACTGGTTATAAGCCCTTGTAAGGCTGTGGTTGGACAGGATAGTAGAGGCAGTTGTGGATTCCCTAGGACAGGGTCAAAAGGGCTGCAGCCACAATGATGCCCCTCCCCTTGCCAGCAGAAAATGTCCTTGTCAAGGCAAAGTTATCAGGAAAATGTGCCGAGGTAAGCTTCATTCAGCATTGTTGCTCTTAATTTTTTTGGCAAGTTATATAATTGGTCCATGAGGAGCTGTCTTGTAGGACTTATATTCAAATATGATATGAACTGTGTTTAAATTCAGCTAATTGTCAGCTCACAAAATTGTACTGTTTTAATTGATCCAATCTTAAGGCCTGACACTTAATTAACTAACACAACTGCGCGTATAGTCCATAGCCAGGTTTGTAGCAAAAGGGGAAAAAGCTTTAGAGATTATGTGCTTTAGAGCTGCCTTCTCTTTTCTGTAAACAGCAGCATGTAATTCATATCTTGTTCCTGTCCTATGCTCAGGAAGCTCCTTGACTTCAGTAGTAATACTTCTGCTGTAGTATTGGTGAGAGCAGTTAAAGTCTTCCCTTAAAAGGCAAGATTATTGTTTGGGGTGTGTATTTTGTGTGTGTTCTTGTTGGTTTTTCACTTTGGTTTGATGCCTATGTCTGCTGCTAACACTTTCAGGATTGACTTTTTTCTCCCCCCCCGCCCCCTTTTCATTTCTCCACCTTGGTAGCTGTTCGATTTGGCCGTATTCCCAAACGTGAAAAACAGAGGATGCTGATTGAAATGCAGAGTGCCATGAAAACCATGATGAACAGCCAGTTCAGCGGTCACTTACCCAATGAAGCATTAACAGAACATCAAGATCAAGCACCTCAAGAAGACCTTTCCTCCAAGCCCAAACAAGAGCGGGAAACCATCAAAAGCCCTTCTCCCCCTCCTAGCACTGACATGGCTAAGGAAGAAGTGATCGGTATGGTCACTAGGGCCCACAAAGACACTTTCATGTACAACCAAGAACAGTCCCAAAACCCAGCAGAGATGATGCAGTCCCAGAGTGGTGAGAGAGTGTCAAAGAACACTGAGCCATACATCTTGAGCAGCGAGCACTGTGTTGGTGGGCTCGGTGGCCCTCAGTACCCTGAAAGTGAGCACCACCTTGGTGGACAGTACAAAGGGAGAAGCGCAATGCATTATCCAAGTGGGCATGCCATGTGTTTCACAAATGGCCACTGTATGAACTTCACCAGTGGTTATACTCAGCGACTTTGTGATAGGATCCCAGAAGACAGCTTTTCTCCAAACAAGAATACCACTTATTCTTGCAGCACTGGAGGAAGAATGCATCTGGTATATTGATATCGATTGTTTGCTTTGACTTAGTGAAAGGCTTAGTGATGCATGTGATCCAGCTGTACATAATTGGCACAACTGCTGAAACTTTTCATGGTGACACAAGTTTGATAGCACAAATTGTGATGAAGGAGAATAATGGCGCGAGTTGTGTGGAGCATTTGAAATCATGCAAGTGATGGGGTTTCTTGGCTCGTTTTTTAGCAAACTGAAAGTAGACTGATGTCAAAGAGCATTGGTTGAAGAAAACTCATAGCTTTTTTAACTGGCTTGACGTAAAAATGGAAATACATGTTAGGAGTTCATAAATTCCCTTCTTCACTCAATCCTCTTGAAGACTTCACTTTAAAATAATCTACACAGTCAGATATGCTGTATTTTTCTTAAAGGTATTCAGAGTAAATTTCTGGGGTGAGACCCCAGAGCTAGGATTTTAAGCCAGTCTGTTTGCACACCTTGCTAGTGTGTTCTAAAATCTCTCCTGCTGGGTAGGCTGGTGTTTTTTGGGGGAGGGGGGCAGGGGGATGTTTTGTTTTGTTTTAATGGGGATAGGCTGATTCTGTTACAGGCAGTGTGAAATATAGGCTTAATGGGACCCACAGGCTATGCATCCTTCTGCCCTAGAACATCTTCAGATCTGAACAGAGGCAGGAGGAAGTTGCACAGCTAAACCACTTGAGAGAAGTTCAGGGTCTTTTCTATAGTACTTACACAAGCGAGGCTCTGCACATGCTTACGGATACCTTAGATGACTTTGCTAGAGCATTTTCTCACTGAATTCTTAACAAGGATGCTTCCCGTTTTCTTGCATATGGGTTTTGTGTTTTGGTTTGGTTTTTTTTTCCTTTCCTTAACAGGTCCCTCCCATTTGCCTTGCAGCCACTGTTTCTCTGCCATTCAGGCAACTGGTTCTGTAAGCCCCTTAAAATAGATTGTCCTTTATCACTGGAACCGCCTGGGATGAGAGAACATAACATCCTCGTTCTCATTCTGCACTCCTGTTGAGAAGTGCGAGCCCCTGACCTTTCTGAAGTACTCGAGCTGCCGATGTTTTCCTTCCTCCTAGTTTGTAAAGATTCTTCACAGGTTCTTGAAGGCCCCTGAAAGTCTCTGCACAGTGAAGGCTGTTTGTTTTGATGTTGGATTTCTTCTGTTGTTGTTGGGGCTTTTTGGTTGGTTCGTTGTTTTTTTTCTTCTTCAGCTACGGCATATGTGGACCATGCCATCCCTAGCAGGCTCTGACCTTAATTGCAGACTCTGAGCACTACACCATGGCAAATAATAATCATTCCCAACCTTTCTTCCTTGCAGGGAAAGTATGTGGAGTCACTACAGCAGCATTCTTGGCACTCCTGAGAAGCAGAGGTTAAACCTGTCAGTATGGGCAGGCAGGGAGTGGCGCTGCCTGCAGAGGCCCAACCAGTCAGTTTGACCTGTGCATAGCAGCTGCAGGGAGGTTTCACACAGCCAGCGGTGAGGAAACAAAACCGAATCCAACAGAGCACTGCAGGACCGCCCCCCCCCCCCCGCCCTGCGTCCCTGACGTGAATGAGGGTTTTGCCAGAGAACATGATGAGAGCAGAATCCGACCAAAATGAGTCAGTAGCAGTAAGGGAGTGTAATTAGGCTCTGAACCAGTACAGAGACAGATGTTCAGGGCTTTAGTTTTTTCACTCATACCCCCACAACCAGAAAAGCAGAGCAGGTCATTCCTGAAGAGGTTCCTCTAAAGAGACCTAGTGACTGCACAAGCTGACAACTGCTTCCACAGGAAGCCTGTCAGAGTTCAGGGAGTGTCTGGATGATGCTCTTAGTCATATGGTTTAGTTTTAGGTAGTCCTGCAAGGAGCAGGGAGTTGGACTTGATGATCCTTATGGGTCCCTTCCAACTTGAGATATTCTGTGATTCTATGACTCTTGGGCAGAGGTCTCTCAAGAGAGCTTAGACAAAATATACAGCGGGTGAAAGTGGCACTTTCCCCTTGGGACTGAGTGCCTGGGGGTTAGGGTAAACCATTGTGGGATGAGTTGAGATGCTTTTTGTGTCCAATTCAGAGCGGGGTGCCGAACCAGAGATTCCTTATTTTCAGAGAGTGCTGTATTTTTTACAGTACCTGTGTGAACTGTTGCAGTATCGTGGACAGAGCAGTGGCTAGTGTCTGCTGTGCTTCTGGTTGTGTGCCTAGACCTTTCCTTTTGCCAAAATATTTCATGATTTTCAGTTTATGGAAAAGGTCCCCCTCTACCCCACAAGTAATTGTTTGGTTTTGGGCATTGTCCTCACACACACAAATGATGTTGTGTTTCACAGCTGAACCAAGAAATCTGCAATTCTGTTTTTTGTCTTTTGGGGAGAGCTTTCTGCATATTGACTGCGCAGTTAGTAACTGATATTTGGGAAAAAAAAAAAAAGCACAAAAACTCCAGAAATGTGTATCTGTATCTTGTTTTCCCTAGCTGTTGCCAAATTCATACACATGCAGGTGCATATATACCTGTTGACTATATTCTTGTAATGGATCTTGGGACCTTCCATGCAAAGAATTGCTAGGCAATTAGTCAAGATGCCCTGCAAAAGCAGCATAGCTCTGAGGAATTACTAATCTATTTCACTGCTTTCTATTTGCTTTGCTGACATTATGTAGGATTACATACACAGTAATAGTATACTTGTGAGGAATACTTAAAAGGAATTCTTGTCCTTGATGATGATAGGTGAAATTAATATTAAAAGATTTAAACTTCATTAAAAGATGTAAATTTTAGAAAGCAGAACTGAAAGTATCTCAGAGTGTCTGGTTGGGTTTTATAGAGGGAATTTATCGGCAGTCAGCCTTGACTGATACGTCTCATCTCATTATAGTGGATTCAGACTTTGCTACAAAAAATTGCTGTATGTATAAAAGAAAGAGCATTTTGTCATCTTGTGACTGAGCAAAATTGGAATACCAGTTCCTTGGTCCTCCTTCAGTGATACAAATAAAAGCAAACACGTAGGAGAGGAAGGTTGTTCTGGTAATGAGGATGTAAACTTGTGACTCAGGTAAACCAAGGCTCAGTTCCTTGGTCTGGTGTTGACACCTTTGTCACCTTGACTGAATCACTTTAGCTGCCTGCAAAACAAGAAAGATATATGAGAGTGAACGTAGTAGTGACTGTGAGATTACAATTGATTGATTGTGAAATCACGATTAACTGTGAGATTACAGGGATAATACAAATAAGAGAAATCCAGATGTCAGCCATGAGTGGCATCAGGGAAGAGTAGCATAACCCAGGCTCTCTCAAGTCTTTTACTATAAACAATGTTGGTGTTACCAAGGTCAGCAAATTTAGAAACAGACTGCTAATGGACTGCCATGGATTTTTTATTGTTTGTTTGTTTTAAAGGGAGGGAGAGAAATCTAGTTGCTTTGGTACCTGACTGAGGAATACTGATACTTTTTCTCCCTGTGTCATTATTACAAAGTTTTCTTAAAGAATAAATCTGCTTCTTTAAAGTATTTGTCAGTATTTGGAATTATATCTTTAAGAGTTGTCTTCTGCTTACATTTTCTAAACATTAGGTCTGCCCAATGAGTAAGACTCCCCACGTGGACCCAAACAAGTCTGGCCATGAAGTCTGGGAAGAGTTTTCCCTGAGTTTTACCCCTGCGGTGAAGGAAGTGGTGGAGTTTGCCAAGCGCATCCCAGGTTTCCGGGATCTCTCCCAGCATGACCAGGTTAATCTTCTGAAGGCTGGGACCTTTGAGGTGAGACCACTGTGTGTATAGTGCGGACCTGAAAAGCTGTGCATCAGTCCGACCCCCTTAAGAACAAAAATAAATAGAACTGGGTTATATTGGGCAAAACCAGCTTGTTCATGGATGTTAGCTCTGAGCTTTCCTTAAGCTGATGGTGTCCAGTGCTTCTGTTTGGTCAAATCTTGGTGAGCTGTCCCTTTTCCAAGTAGCTCAAAAGTGCTCAGCCCTTTTACCCTTTCCTCTTCCCTGGGCATTAATAAATGACTCACAAGGAGTTTCTTGGTTTTGTATAGCAGCGGTTACTTTGGTAGCTACCTTTGCTTAGCCTGGAGAGAAGCAGACTGCATCTGGAAGGGTGGATAGTTTAGAAAGCTATCTATTGACTTACAAGTTTTACAGAGCAACAAACACATTCCTCTACATGTCCTTCCTTCTGCCACTGTGCTCCCTGCCAAAGCCAGAGTATCCATCCTGACCAGTCACCACTAGCCTTTCTTGGGAACTGGGGATTGCTGAAGCCTCCATCTCCAAAGCAGTAACACTGATAACTAGCTGTACTGCTGCAGCTCTGTAGATACTGTGTACCAGCTGCAGCCTGACTTACTCTAGGCTAATCCCACCAGGTCCTCACGGTTAATTTCACCCACTTGCAAGCATGACATACATGTGAATTAGTGGTGTTAAATTGGGAATGATACCAGAGCCTGGTGCTGTTTTATAATTAGTGACCTTCACCAGGGGACCTTTACTTAAGATTTTAGTTGCTCTTCCAGACTCGTGTCTATTGGGGACCATGCACATTTGATAAGTATTTGGATTTGAAGTTTAAACATAGAGGGATAGAGGAGCTGAAGTCTCAAGTATGCAATGATACTGTGGTTTTCTGGGGTGGGCAGGGTTGGTGATGCTTTTGCTCTTGTTTACTTGATTTATTCTTTCAAAGAGGGATGCTGGATTTCAAATTTACCTGAACTGAAGACATTTCTCATGTAATGTGTTGGGTCTTTTATCTGTATTTATATACAGCCCGGTTCTAAAATGGATAATTGTTGGGTTGGAAGGTACAAGTTATACTGGAAGACCTGGTGCTTGGAGCGTGTCAGTTTCCATGTTGCTCCCATTTTGCTGTCATGTATTTTTTGCCATTATACTTATTCTTGACCTTTTAATATTCATCTACAACTCCTGTAGCTAAGGGCTGTATTTTCACTTCTTCAGCTACAGCCTCTTATGTTGCTGTTCACATTACGCAAAAATGTTGGTTCCTTCCTCTGCAAAGTGGTATACTGTCCAGTGCCCTCAAGGAGGGTGGAAAATCAGGCTTGAACTGTTCCTATAACGTAAAGCCAAACCTTCATGTTTTGCAAGAAAATGTTTTGTCTTGGCCTTTCTTCACCTCAAGCTTTTCTGAAGCCTCATTCGTATGCCTTTTTGCCAGTTACAAGCACTGCTGATAAACTCTTAAACTGCTGACTGTGTCTGTATCCAGGGAAATTAATAATAATGTATGGCTGTATGCTTATCCCTATTCACTTATTTATAAGAAACATAAATGATTTCTGTTAGTGAGCTGTACCTGTAGTTAAAGGCCTATGTGGCATCTTAGGAACAAAAAAAAACCCAAAAAAACAATGCTGCAGAGCAGTGGGAAAAAAACCCACCAAAACAGGATTAAAGAAACCATTGCAATAGAGGCAGAAGCATCTTGAAACCCTGGTGCATACAAGGTTGCTTCTGTCTGCTGCGTAACTAAACTAGGATATCCCAACCTCTGCATGTTAATAGAAGAACCTGACTAAAAGTACTGCCTCTGAGCCTGTTTTGGCTCCCTTGGGCACCAGTGGGTGGCTGTCTTGGCACTGAGCTTGCCAGCAGCTCATATTCAAGGAGCGCTTGTTTGTTTGGGGGCAAGAAGACGCATGGAGACAATGTTGGTGCAGAAGCAGCATAGCTATACATATTCACACACATGTAAGCTAAAAAGCCCTCTTAGAAGTGAGAGTACTGGGGAGCTCAGTATATCGTGGTGGTATTTGCATGGCTTTGTATGGGAGCCAGCTCAGAAACAGCGGTGACTGTAAAATAAGGAATGGATTTGGGTGGATCCTCCCCCCCCTCCACAAGCCCCCACTCCAAATGTAGTTGATGGTAGAGCTAATGAGTCCCTTGGATCTATTGAGGTAGTGACTCAATTTCTCTACAGACTCACAAACTTGGTGATTTGGCTGCAGGTGGTGGGGAAGTGAGCAAGCACTTGCCCGTGTGGAGGTTTTTGTCTGCTTACATTGCCATGGTTAGGTGATAGGGTTGATCAGGTATATCCTCAGCGTGCACAAATAGGAGTCTGGCTTGAAGTGAAATGGGATGGGTCAATCATGTGCTATACCATAGTCTAAACTGTTCTTCCTTGGGTTAGAATGGTGACATTGAAATCTATAGGCGAGGTCTTTGCCTTAGTATTAAGTCAGCACAGCTTCATGGGCTTCAGTTTTGAATACCAGCGTTAATACTGGTTGCTCATTATTTAAAGTTCATGTTTCTAAAGCCCAGTTCTGTAAGGGGAATACCATTTTGAACTGAAAGGTTGTTGAGCACCTGGTGGGTCCCTGCTAATGCAGAAGTTCAGCATTGTCTGTCTGCCCTTTGTCTCCTTTTGTTGTATTCTGCGGGCTTCTGCACCTAGGTTTCTGCCTAGGTTTCTGCACTCTGTAGTTAATGTCGTCAAAGGACGTATAGCTTAACTGACAAAGGTGAATAATACATAGTCCTCATGTCTCCATGAAGATTGCTGCATGTCATTTGGCTGTTAAAATTTAGGAGCGGGTCACGTAATGTGCATGAATGGTGTTTGAATTCTCAAACATTTTCATTTTTTTTTTGAACCCTCCTTTTTTAAGCTTGTCAAAGGCACTAGTCTTTGCTGAAAACCTGGTTCTCCTCTCATCTGTAGTAAACACTTAAATTAATGCAGTTATGTAGGGTAAGTGAGAAGAGACGACTGTCACACCAAGAGATTGCAGCAAGTCTGAAGTTTTAACCAATGCCAGTTGGTTCATTTTCTCCAAATAAGAAGGCTGTTCTGTGCAACTTAAACCTTGAAAATGTAAATAAGGTTGTTGAACATGAGCAAATGAAACTTTACAAGCCATTCCAGAGGGAAACATTTCACAGTACGACTGAGAAACCACAAGAGAAATTTCAGCCCAGAGGGGTAAGTTCAGCACATGTCAACCTGCTCCAGTCCAGGTGCTTATACCAAAGGGGTATTCCCAGCTGCAGCTACAGACCAGGTGCCGTTTCAAGCCCTGCTTCCCTAGCCTTTTGAAGGCTGTACATGTGGCTCCTTTTACCAGAGCTCATTAACATTCCTGTGGGTACAGCAATGCGGCATGGTACTTTCCCAAAGAATGCCTAGTGAGCCAGATCATCAGGTGGTGTAAAGCAGCATTGTTTCAATGGAGCTGCTCTAGTTTACGCCAAGCAAGAATCTGGTTCAATACCTTCATTTTGCTCCTCATAAGTGTGGCCAAGAAAACATTTCTTTTAATGCTGTGTATGCCTTTGGCTGTTTGGTGGCTTAAGCAAGTTGTTCTACTGGCATATTTATGAATGGCAGTGTCTTTGTGGCTCAGGCTGTCTGAGGCTTAAATTTTAATTTTCTTCCCTTTCATGTGCTATAGCCCCTCCCCTGCATCCACTCACTAATTTTTTCACTTGTTTGTTTCCCTCAGACTACTGGGCCAGAGCTTGCACTGTTTTTTACAGCTCAATAGCATGCTGACAGTTTTTGTATAGAATGCTTGTACAGTTGTTAATGAGACGGTTTGAATGATGTTAAAAGGTTTAATTTTTTTTCTTCTGCTTTTCTAGAAATCCACCTATATTTACCTGTTTTTGTTGTTCTTTTTTTCTTTCACCAGGTTTTAATGGTACGATTTGCATCTTTGTTTGATGCAAAGGAACGTACCGTCACCTTCCTGAGTGGAAAGAAGTACAGTGTGGATGACTTGCATTCAATGGGAGCTGGTGATCTGCTCAACTCAATGTTTGAGTTTAGTGAGAAACTAAATGCCCTGCAACTTAGTGATGAGGAAATGAGTTTGTTTACAGCGGTTGTCCTGGTATCTGCTGGTAAGGAGAGAAAGTTAACTTGCACCTTTGCCAAATTTTGAATATGGCTCTCTATTAAAAGATTTCTGTAAAATGTATACCCTGTTATTTCACGTCTAAGTGCAATTTAGTAGGTTTTAAGCTACGAGCAGCCTGTAATTTACTTTTTTACATACCTGCTCTTTCTAATACTGCCTTCTGGAAAAATGTGACAGTGGGCTTATATTTTCCTACTACTTTCTATAGAATGCAAAAATACATCTCATAGCTGCCCGATGGCCATTTAGAAGCTATTTGTCTGACTCATCTAAGTTTCACAGGACAGCATCAGTGAAATTACTCCTGACTTGCACAGCCTAAATCTTGGGATAAGGTGGTATTTTTACTTCCAAGTGTTGTCACTAAAGTCAGTTGCGTATCTTACTTAAGTCTAAATCCAACAGTTTGATCTCTGCCTATGTCAGCAAGAAAGCCCTATTCATCTGCATTGTGACTTCTTACCACTAAAGGTCTGCCAATCCACTAACATCTTCACCGGCCTCATATCTTGTTTCAGTCCCTGGATATACAGAACACCCTGGCCCAGATTCAAAGAAGGATTAAGCACCTACTTCTGTAGTATTATCTAAAGCCTCAAATTAGGCACATTAGCTCTGCATATAATGCCTGGAATACAAGATGCAGAATCCCTGCTTGCTGGGTAAGGAGCTCTCTAGAGGTAGCAGGCAGGAATACTAGTAGTGTCCACTTATACAACAAGCCAGCATTTGGGGCCACTCGCTTCTTGAACAAGTACACCTCTTCCACATGAGTGGGTTAGACCCACATCTTTCTTATCAGGGAGAGGCATCCCAGCCATGGTGCTGTAGGCACACAAAGCCTCTGTAAACACGGTAGGACACTTCAGTCTAATAGCTTTGTGTATGGCCTAACTGAAATGTGATAGCACAGGGTGGGGCAGCTGTAGCCTCTTCAATTTGTAAGTGGTGGTAACGAGCAGAGGGTGGTACAGAGTTTGCAAGCTTCAAAAGCCAGAACGAATGGCAGTGTGAAGGAAGCATGGCACTGTAGTCTGTCAGTGAAAATGTTCAGGTAGCAGAGAGAAACCTCGGGTTTTAGCTGCTTTTTCCAGACTCTGCTTTACGTATTTTATTTTTGAAAAGCTAAATTGACGAGAACTAAAGACAACCTTTAAAATAATGTCTGAGAACCAGGCCTCTTCCCTCCTTGTGCAATGTCATAACTAGGCTACAGCCGCTCTTCTTGCTTGCTCAGCTGCTGGGCTCTAGAATATCACCATCTCTGTGCCACCTGTTTTGAATGTAAGTGGCTGTATCTGTTCTGTTAATTTTCCTCCTAGCCCCGGCCCCGCCCCCCCCCCCCCCAGCCTTTTGAGCACTGCTCCATGCTGTTGCTAGCTCCCAGTAGGGCTTAGCTTAGGCATGGTATGTAACATGTACAGCATGTAATGTCAGAGCCATGCAACAGGACAAAAAGAGGAGGTGTTTGGTATTCAGGCTTCTTGCAGCTGCTGAGGATTTTTCAGATCATAGTTTTGGACATTATTACTACCTATCTTAGCTATCTTGTGATCTGATCTGTAGTCTGATCACAGCTTTCCTGGACATCTTCACAAAATACTTCCAGGGTTTTATAAAGTACAACTTCATTAGTCTTTTAATGTTTGGGCCCGAACTTGCATTCTTACGGTATTCCAGACACAATAGTAACCTTGATGGTCACTGAGAGTCCAGCAATTTTCAGATCAGCTTCGCTCTGCACCTTGCAACTAAATTGAAATGCTGCAGTCACTACTTGCACAAGTGAGTAACTGAGCAAGCTTCATGCTTGAGCAGGTACCTAAGAAGAACAGAAGTGCCCCCAACAGAGCTCCTGGGGAAGATGCTTGCAATGTGAGGGCTTGACAGGAGGAGAAGGTGTCTGTAGAACTGAAGGATTGTGGGCACCTGTTGGTTAAACTGATCTTGAAAGACAGATCCCCTGCACCCTACCCCTCAAGAAGGAGTGTGACCCAGAGAGTCATTTCCCATAAGGTGGAGGTGGAGCTCAATTAGAGAAGGAGGAAGAGTTGAGGAAGAGCATCACAGAGAATGACATGGAGATGCAGGCAAAGGCAAAAGATGCCGTAACTGGAAGAAGAACTGAAGGTGGAAGAATAAAGCCAATTAAGACTTCTTCATCTCAGAATGAAAGTTACTCAAGAGAAGATTGAAAGGAAGGTGGTACAGTAGTCAAGTTTTACATCAGTTCCAGAAGCAGACAGGAGTGTGTGACCTGTTGAATCCTGATTGTGTGATCCAGAATATAAAATACCATGCTGCACTAGTTAAAAATCTTTTAAAAAGACTTTCAGTTGTTTAAAACTTTTGAAAAAACACCAGTGGAAAAAAAGAAATGTTCTTAAGTCTCTAAATAGTGCTAGTGGGTAGAACACTTGTCAGAAGCATCTCCACGTAACACTGGATGAATAACCACACTTACGAGGGATATTTAGAACATGCAGAAAGAAGAAGCAGGGGTAGTAGCAAGGAATGTGTGTAACTGTGTACATCCTCTTGTTTTGGTGTCACATGGCAAAGAAAGAAGAAGCAGGGCCATACAGTGAGGATGTAGGAGTGTTTCTGATGGTACTGAGGAATTACCTTGGTGCCATTCCAAAACTAAAAAAATGCTTCACCTCTGGCTTCAGTTAGCTGGATGTGTTGAAGATGGAGGGAAGATAGCAAGATGGATCACGGGCACTGAAGAAGGAAGAAGCAAGGTGGAAGCAAAGCTGAATGTGGTTTGTGCAAGTCTAGAGAGCAGATAATCTCTTAACTGAGGGTGATGCCTTGTGGTAGAAGAACATAAAATACACACCCTCTATTATTCTCTCTTACTGTGGTAGTACTAACAAAAACTTCTGCTGTCCACTGGGAGAAACTGGGAAGTAGACTGAGAGGGAGAAGAAAGATTTGGACTCATTGAAGAGAGGAGGCTACAGTCACTCACCCAAGGCAGCCAGGAAAGACTGGACTGCGTTCTTCTACTTTCATAAGCAAGGTAGTAAGTACCGCTGTCACTGTACAGAGCTCTTGCATATTCTGTGCAAATGTCATCATCCCTGTTCAGGATAGAGCAAACCTAAATGTTTTGCAAAGCGGGGGGGCAAGTGGGATAGATATTAAATAAAGGCAGAGAGGCATCTCTTTACTCATGCTCTCTTGGAGAGCAGCTATCAAACCTAATGGACAATCTACACAGAAGAGTGGAATATGTGCTAATAAACACCGTTTGATATTAATCAAAGTTACTAATTGTTAGAGTAGAAGGTTCTGGAACAATCTTTCTAAAGGAAAAAAACACATTAACTGCTTCAAGATGGATACTTAAGTGGATTATATAATAATTTTTTCCATAGTGGTAGGGAACTGCACTGAATAGTCCAGGAGGACTTCCTAGACTCTGTTCACCTGAGAAGTCCAATTGGATTGACACTGACAGCATAAGGAAGGGATTCCCACTCTGACTGTACAGTCTGACTCAGTGCTGCTCCAGAAAGCTGTTGTCGTTCTGTGTCCCAGTTCTGCAAAGTGCTTAAGTACGTGTACACATCAAAGCACATTTCTGTTCGTGTCTGTCACTCGCGTATGTCTGTGCCCCACTGAATTTACGTAGCATTTAAGAAGAGAGGCTAGCTGCAGCTTGCGAGAAACAGCTACTGTGCATGGTTATTAGGTTTTGCTTAAAAATTTATCCATTTAAGCTGCTTACTTGGGTTCCACCTAAGGACAACAGGCATGTTCTTAAATACAGCTCTCTTGAAAGAGATGCTTCGGGTGTGGGACGAGTGCAGTATGTGAAAGCATAATATTTTTGTTGACATTGAAATTCTTCTTTTCTTTCTCAATTGGGAATTTTTGGGTGCATGATGTTTCATTTTGTAAGTGCTTCAGAACACACTCAGAAATAGTGCCCAGTCACGTCAAGGCTTGTAGTCCCTTTGCCCCTGGGGTCTCATTGTGCAGATACGAGGGTGGCTTGTCCTGATGAGTGGGATTTCCTCCTGAAATATGAACAGCCAGTTTAAGTTTAGGGTTCTATGTCCAGCCTTGAGAAATGTTTGAAATTCTTACTTCTGTGTGCCCTGTCTCTCTCCTTGCATTGAAAGCTGTGATTCAGCAAAATAAAATTTAAGTGTGTGCTTCAATCAGTCCTTTTCTGGAAACATGGGTGATTACAGAAAAGGTGATTGAATGCTGCCAGTTCAGCAGGAACTTCATACTTTACACAGTTGAATCTAAATAATGTTCGAAAGACTTTTCCTATGTGGGTTTGAAACTTTTGGCATAAGTATTTAATTTTTCTTGTGCTTGTTAATTTAGTGAGTGATTCTTGCAGTGGCTGTATGTTGCAGACTACATCCGTTCAGTCTCTCCCCCTCCCCCTGCCCCTGTTTTTTCTTTTTCTCCCCCCCCCC